CATACACGCTGGTCGGTTAGGGGTACTTCTAATTTGGCCAATTTTCAAAATATCGCCAATTTGGTAAATTTCTTTGGGCGTCGAATAAAATAACTTTTAAATAACTAATACATAATAAAAGATAAAGTAAAACATATAATATACACATATACCTTAATACATATAATATATATAAATATACAAACAAACTTACATATCTACCCAAAAATATAAAATGAAAAAAAATTGCCTCATGGACGGGATATTGCAATATCTGCCACGCTTGGCAGGCAAGTTGGCAACCGCAGTTTTTATAATGATTTCTTATATTTACGCGAACACTACACATTGGAATAATACTAGTTTTACGGAATTTATCGCGTATATTTAACTTTTTAAATAACCGACGTTTCGAGAGCTTTACAGCACCCATGGTCATGGGAAGGACTGAGATGTTCAACGTCCAGATGTCATAGTTAACCGCGGTTACCGTAGATTAAAATTAATTTTGTTCCATCTACACAGTATGAACTTATGGTATCATGAAGTCTTGCAGTTGTATGCTTGGGATGGGATTTAATTTTATTTATTATAGGATCCCAAGCAGATGGTAGCACCCAGCCATCTTCTCTATTGAAATTAGGATGTTTTTTGATTTCAATAGCCTCGCGAATCATCCTTGGAAGGAATCGGTGTTCTTTAGCGAGGATTTGTGGTCTATCAAATCTGATGTAGTGATGGGGGCGATCCTGTACGTGTTCACAGACTGACTTCCCGGAGCGTCGATTCTTCACATCAGCTATATGTTCTTTAACGCGGGTTTTAATTGATCTTTTAGTTTGTCCTATGTCGCGATAAATTCCGTAAAAACTGATATTATTTCGACCGCAGTTTTTTATTATTTTGCATTGTTATTAGGGATGCTGCTGCGCATCTCCTGTTTCATGTTCCCTCTGTCCCCCAATACTACATTTACGGAACGCTATGTGATAGTGGACATTCTTACACCGCCACTACACGAATGAAAAAATGTAGCAAAGTTAATTTACAGTATTAAAAGGATTACAAAGTTACTACAATTGAAGTGCGTGACCACACACGTCCGTCGTAGTCTACCCGCATGGAAAATCGGTTTTAAATATATTTCTAATCTAAAATCGAACAATATGTACCGCGGTAAGCTCAACATAGCCTCCCAGATATCATAACCGCAAGGTGATGTTGACCAGGATTAAGAAGGAAATGCTTCGGTGGTTTGGTCATGTAGAAAGAATGAACGAGGAAAGTGTGAGAAAGCAAATTTAAAAAAGAGGGGGTGCCTAGATAAAATTGAAGATATATTGAAGATAGGCCAGATTAAGAGCAACATTAACCGACGTATATGTATGCTTAGATATATGGATGCGAAGGAGGAAAGAGAGGTGTGTCAAGATCGTGCCAAAAGGAACTCCGTAGCCTCTGCCTATCCTTCTGAGTGTCAAGCGTGAGTGTTTATTTTTATGTCATAACCTCCGTTTTTTTACAGAATAAGGGTGACATACGAGCACACAGTCCTGATGGTAAGTGGATGATGTGGCATAGACATCTACATTCAACCTCGATTAGGAGTCAAAAGGCAGATGCATTGTCACTACTGAGGATTAAGATGAAATGCCTCGATTCCAGTCAAACGGGTCTCCGGTTCTCTACACTCACCATAGGAAACAAAGCAGCATTAAGCTTCTATTTTACGCTGCTATTCTGTGAAAGCGTGATCCTTCCCCGGTCGAGTCGACCCATTCGTACCACAACAATAATGTAGCTGCAGCATGGCCCAACCACGTATAATTATATATATATATATATATATATATATATATATATATATATATATATATATTATAATAATATATATTTTTTTTTTTTCCATTAATCGGAATTGAAATAATCATATACGTGGTTGGGCCATTCATTATTAATGATGATAATAATGAATGGCCCAACCACGTATATGATTATTTCAATTCCGATTAATGGAATACTGTCAACTGCTTATATAAAAATTAACAAACAATGGTACTTCGTTTAAGGTTAAAATAATTTCCATTGAATATTAAACGCCATGACGATAAAGATTATGTTTTTCCTTATTCTAATTGTAGTATGTCATCTTCAATCAGGCGCCTCAAAATCGATTTCTAGCTTATGTGCCCACGTTTTTGTTTGCGTAGATATTTTTATCTCTTTTTTTATTTAACTTGCTTTCTTCTCCATGTTACCGTTACCGTTACCGTTACAGCCATAGAATAATATAATACATACATAATAGAACGGGGAGTGGGCGGAGCCCGTGTAGCCACTAAAATGTCACGAACACGTCAATTCACACATATAAATGTCAACACGAAATGTGTTTTGACTGATGTAATTGCTTGTATGTGTGCTCCCGGCGACGTTGGTCCTCGTACGAAATAAGGTTGACAGCTATTCTATTGTGTATCACAGTATTCTATGGTTGCAGTCTATCGAAAGTCCGCTCTTAAACTTACATAGACCTCCCACATATAGGTAATATTTGCCGTAGTTGCCAAGCTTGGCGGGCGGGTTGGCAACCGCAGTTTGGTATTTTTTAGTTGTTTTTAGATAGACACTGCTGCCCATCTCCTAGTTTGTTATCCCCTGTCACCTCTTATAACACTTTCGAAATGATATGGGGTAGGGCTAATGTTACACCGTTTTTATGTTACGTTTTTTTATAGGATAGGGTGACAAACGAGCACACAGTCCACCTGATGGTAAGTGGTTGCTGTGGCCCATAGACACCTATATGTATCTTCGATTAGGAATCGAAACGCAGATGCGTTGGCACACCTGAGGACTTAGATAGAATGCCTCATTTCCATTAAAAAGGGTCTCCGGTTCTCTACACTCACCATATGATGTACAGCAGCATTAAGGTACTATTTTACGCTGGTTTTCTGTGAGAGCGTGGTCCTTCCCTGGTTGAGCCGACCCGTTCGTGCTACAACCATACTACTAATATGACTGCAGCATGGCTCTACCATGTATAAAATATATACTCTATTTGTGTTTTTGGTACGTATTTTATTCCAAATCAACCTTGAACGTCTTGAGGAATGGAACTCCATTTATTAGATTATTTATTTTTTGGCTGACTGTGGTCTCGATAATGGGAGCTTGTACTGTTTTCAGAAACGATACTTGGAAAACTTTGTACGCGCTCTAGATTATAGACAACTTATAATGTTTCTGGTGAAGATTTCCCAGCGACTGTTAAAAGTTATATAAACAGAAACAGAAACAGAAACTTTTTTATTCAATATAGATTATAAATAATACTTATTGAAAGTCACTTTTTTATTTACCACTGAAACCCAGCGGGACTTTTTTTTAAAAATAACAGCTTACAATCATATATTATGCTACAATTAACAAAAATACGAAACAAATTAGAAATAGCTTGGTAGCCATCACCCTTCCCAGGGGTTATTATCATCCATAAATTCCTGAACATTATAATAACCCTTTTTATACAGTCTTAGCTTAATAAAGTTTTTTAACTTTGTGTAGGTCAAATTTTGCATATTTCCTGAGATTTTGTTGTAAAAGCGTATACATTGCCCCAAGAATGAATTACTGACTCGGTGGAGACGAGTAAATGGTATTACCAGCTTGTGTCTGTTGTATTGTTGATAACTTCTGCTGCGGAGTATTGGAAACGTTATGTCTACCAGATGGTATCTCCATTCGGAACGCAACCGAGGTTTTTCTATCAATTTGCTTCACTAGAAGCACGTACTATTACACTCACTCACTCAGCACTCTTCGGGGGTTCCTATCGCTTAACCGCCTTGAGCACCTAATTCACTGTCACAGCTCTGGCGGTGGACTCCGATTTGTTTGTACACCTTTGTATCCATATTCACCGCTATATCCAGAAATTGAGGAGCCAGAGCTGTTACTGCCATGAAGGATATTGGGCGTAATTCTATAATTCGTATGCCCATCCTTCAATGGAAGCTCTATATTTTACTTCTACAGAGTCGGATGACCTGCCTTATCACTCATACCGTTCCCCCATACAAGACTACAGGCCGTATTACTTACATATAGCGACACACTTCCTCCTTTAATCATCATCATTATCACAACTATAGTCCTTCACAAGTCCACTGCTAAACATAGACCTCCCCCAAATAATACCAAAAACGTCCTGAGTCAACTGCATCCATCGACTTCCTGTATGCCTTACCAGGTTGTCACTCCCCCAACCTTGATTCCACATCGGTTGTCGGTTCTTCGAGCTATATGGCCGGGCAATTGCCACTTCAACTTACAAATCCGTTGACCTATGATACTCTCCGGTTCTATTGCGGGTGTCCCCGTTACTAAGTTTATCACGCAGAAAAACCCCAAGCATAGCCCTCACCAAAGCTCATCCACTTGTTCAACTAACTCCCTTTCTATTGTTATTTCATAAATCGTTTTACTTTATTCTTTTTCAAAAACCATCAAATTCATCTTACTTGCGTTCACTTTCATTCTCCTTTCTTTTAGTGACTTGTTCGTTAATGTAAACATCACTTGCAAGCTTCCGCCGAGGACGCAAATACGACTTCATCAGCGGCGTACAAAAGGCATTTGACGGTTAACTCACCTACCCTTACACACATTCTGTCTATAAAATAGTTAAGCAGGAAAACTACACGGCCCTGTCTGACACCTTTATGGATGCCAAACAAGTCCTATTATTCCCTGTGGGCCAGTCCGAGTAGGCCTCGTTGAATCCAAGTCAATTTAAACAACTATGTGTGAAAAACGCTTTTCGCACTACGGAGACATTAAAATAATGTAAAAAATTACTAATATTACATAATCTTTATTGCGAACTAAAATAATTAAAAATAACTTAAATCAACGCGAACACTTATTGATTAAATATTATTTTCTAAAATTAATATAAATAAAACGCGATAAAATCCGTAAAAGTAGTTTTAATCAATAACTTAAATCAAGTCTCATTATCTGCTATTTCTTGGGGGATGGTCCTTTGGCAGAAGGATGCTAAGAGCTCCGCATACTGTAATAAAAATATAGTTTAATAAGGTATGACGAAATTTTATATAAAAATAATTGTAATTTTTAGTTTTATAGTATAAATTCTTTTCATTAGGAATTATGAAATCAAGTTTTATTTATTTGAATATTAATTATTGTAATAAAAAGGATAAAATGCTTGTAGAACTTACAGAATAGCATAGAAGAAAAGCCGTATAACGTGATCGTGCAAGAACTTGAGAGAAAGACGCCCGCAGCATTGGCTCCGATCGCGGAACCGATACGTCCGAACATGAGAACTGCGCCGACAGCCGTGCCTCTGAATATAACGGATGAACGGCTTTTTTAAAGAATATGGTGAAAAACGAGCACACAGTCCACTTGATGGTAAATAGATGCTCTGAGCTCTGACCCATAGACATCTACTACCTTGATCAATAAGTTTTCGGAGCAGGACACTTATCAATGAGTTATAGATATATGATTCTCAATTCATATTCCCTATTTTTAAAATTTTACCGTTACACCACAAATTTAACGTGTTACTAGTTTTGGATAACATTAATAAAAAATATTAAAAAGAAGGGAAATTAGTCTTATGGACGCCACAATGGTCAGTTAAACTGATCATTCCAACTGATCAGTTCAAACAGAAACTGTTGATATTTTTTTTAAATAGTGGATTTTCGATATATCGATCATTATAAGAGTTTTACATAAAAGTTTATTCATGGATACTTATATCGAAATCCGATATAAAAAAAATATCAACAGTTCCAGTTTGAACTGATCAGTTGGAATGATCAGTTGAACTGTTGAAAATACAGTAACTAAAATTAAAAATTACTTCGGTATGCATATGAGACGCTTGGTTATCCCGCAATTACATAACGAGCTGCCTCTGAACTTGCTTAGTAAAGTTACCTTAAAAATAATTTAAATAATACTTTAAAAACATTACCTACCATTGTATCCATAAAGGTACGCCACAGGCTATGTGTAACGTAATGTTAAAATTTAGAAATTGGCAACCCATGTGCGATGTGTGTTGTTTGTGAGTGCGTGTGTTAAATTAGTGTATATATGTACCTATTTAAAAAAAATCATTAAAACAATTCAAAGATAATGAACCAATATTAATGTTTAGCTAATGTAGACCTCATAATATAGTACCTATATAAATAGAATATTAATATACTATATTAAAATATTTAAGAAATAAATATACTTTGAGGGGGTGGGGTGGGGGGGGGGGGAAAAGAAGAGTGTGTGGGTGGGGGGAGGAAAATAAAAAAAAAATTTATTTTTTTTATTGGGAAAAAAAAAAAAAAAGAGGGGATGTTTTTTTAAGTTTTTTTTAATAAAAAAAGGGAAAAAGAGAGGGGGGAAAAAAAAAAAGGGAGCCTAAAAAAAGGGTCCTTCCCCCTTGGGGGTGGTATGGGGGGAAAGTAGGTTTGGGTTTTTTTGGGTTTTTGTGGGGGGGGGGGGGAGGATTTAAAGGGGTAGGGGGGGGGGGAAGGGGGGATTACTTTGTAGTGAGACATTTATTGATAATTTTACAAATCCTAGTTATTGTTGAGGTTTAATTAAGTTTAAAGGCGGCTACTCATTTGCCTGCCGCAAGGGCAATCTAGGGTATTGGAGTGGGGATGACCCTTAATTGCTTCCTTAATTATGATGTGTGTACGTAAACAGGGGCAATATTCTAATTTGGCACTGCGGCAGGGCGGCAGGGGCGCAAGACCTTCCTTGCTCCCTAGATCATAGCCGCCGCTGCCGCGTGTGTAGCGCAATTGGGGGAATTTCAATCAGTTCGTTGGTGACTTTCGCACGGAACACACGTGTTAGTACAAGTCACAATGGATACCAATTAAGAGTGTGAAATTTAGACGCGGATGACAGAAGTCTATTAAGAGCGGCTTCTTCACCCAGTATTTCCTTCTTCTATTTTTTGCGGTAACACCGCAGAAAGAACTTTATTTGAACGTGGTAACGTTTTTAACGTGGTAACCTTTTTTAATGTGGCAACGTTTTTAAACGTGGTAACGTACTTTAAAAGTGGTAAAGTCACGCTGCAGATTATAATAAGCACTATATTTTGTTAGTAATTATTAACTAATTACTTGTTTTACAGGTAAATGTAGGTGTCTATGGGCCAAGTATCCACTTACCATCAGGTGGACTGTATGCTTGTTTGTCACCCTTATTCTATACTAGTTATTAACGGGCGTGTGCTACTACGCTAAAAACATACCATTTTGTTTTCTAATTGAAAAAAAAGGAAATTTTATTTCTTTATTAACTTTTTTATATAGTGCCTAATGCAGTGTTTTAGTGGTTTAAAACCATCTTCGCATTATTGCTTTTCTAACGAAACCGGTTTGGGGCATATCCGTTGGATGGTTTCAGTCTATAACGGACATGGTAAAAACATTTTTTGTATTTTATATAGATAGATAAAAAAGGCCAAGGCTATGTACATTGATATTTCGATAAAACTGGAGCCATTCTCAAAGTGTGTCCAGCGAGACTTCCTCTCTCATACTAAACGGCAGGCATGTGTGTAGAGACAGTTCTAATATCGCCCCGATACTGTACACCCTAGATTGCCCCTACGGCAGGCAAGTGAGTAGCCGCCTTTAGACTCACAAGCAGGTTAGTCGGTGCGTCTCGTCATCTAGTTTTTTTTTAGTGAAAAGTTCTTTTAATTCGTTGTAATTTTAAACTCGATGAAATGAAAAAATGACACTAAAGAGAGACAAACATATACCTACATCTATAGGATTAAGTGTGCGGGCGAATGTGCTAAGAATACAGTGTACCTAGTAAGCGATAGTAGCCTAATGGCAGGGTGCAGACGGTGACTAATAGTGGTTAAGAGGAATATTATTAATGTTAATAGCATTACTAGTATTTAAAAAAAAACATTATTTCATATTATATCGGTCTCCTCTTTGTGAGGTGATTTAAAGATGGTTAATATAAATTTTAAGTGTTTATATATATTCATAACAATACACAACTACAAAACATAATCTCAGGCTATCTAGGGTCTATTTTACGAACCATCTTGAGAGTCAATCAAATGAGATGTTCCAAAATGAATGAAGCCTGGGCCAGGTACACTTTACTCAAAAATAGGTAAAAAATTTTAAAATGGTTCATAACTGTCTAATTATTTTATAATGGCTTTGTTTGCTAGTAAAACACAGGAAATTATACTTAAAATTGCAATACACGACAAAAACCCTTCATGGCCTTTGTCATGCCTTGGCGTAAGCTGTCACTTTTATTGATTAGTGACGTTTGACATGTTTATTTCACGTATTTTTGAAACTGTGGTGACAACTGACAGTTCTCTTTCCGTGATCAATGGTCGCTTTACGGTTTACTGTCATTGTCTATAAGCACAGAGTAACTAAATCGGTGAGATTTGAGATGTTGAAAGTTGATAAAAATAATTGATAAACATCAATTGTTTACACTTAAATGAATTATCTGCATTTTCCCCAATTCTACAGATTTTTCTCTTTTTTTTGAGGTAGTGTACATAAACTTGGCCCATTTTGAAACATCTGCTCGATAAAATGACTTTGCCTATAAAATGAAGTAGATGTTTGTAATACAAAGTAATTTTCCTCGAAAGAAAATATTCTTTTGATTTATTACACTAAAATTAATGCTTTTACATATCCTTTTACCTTATATGTTATGCCACACATGTGGTTGAAAATTATCTTAGTAAATAAGTAATCTGCCGTGAAATATTGTTATTTCATATTTCATTTCCTTTGAAGGTTTCACTTCTACCGCGTGTGAACTGCACACATGTTTTTTTAAATTATAAGCTCTACTCTCTCCTTAAACAATATTTATCTATATAGTATTATAAAGATAAACTATTACTAAGTATAATATTAGAATTACAGCGGAGCTTCTGAAAGTGGGTGGAAAACCGGTACTTGAAGTTCTTCAGAGGCTCTTTAATTCCGTCTTCCATGGTGACACTACTCCGGAGGCGTGGAGCAGAAGTGCGGTGGTCTTGTTCTTCAAGAAAGGTGACAACACCCTCTTGAAGAATTACAGACCGATATCCCTTCTAAGCCGTATCTACGTGCTGTTTTCGAGAGTCATTAAGAATCGTCTCGCACGCAGACTCGACGACTTCCAGCCTCCCAAACAAGCCGGGTTACGGAAAGGCTTTAGTACCATAGACCACATACATACCCTTCGGCAAATTGTACAGAAGCCCGAAGAGTACAATCTGCCACTTTGCCTGCCGTATGTGGAGTATGAAAAAGCCTTTGATTCCGTCGAAATTTGGGCGGTGCTACAGTCTCTTCAGCCATGCCAAGTTGTCTGTTGATATATCGAAGTTTTAAGTATTTGTACAGTATGTTTACGATGGCTATCCGAGTACAGAACCAGAGTACGAAACTCACCCAACTGCAGAGAGGTGTAAGACAGGGTGACGTTATTTCCCCGAAACTCTTTACCGCTGCATTGGAAGACGTTTTCAAGCTACTGGACTGGAAAGGATACGGTATTAACATCAATGGCGAGTACATTACTCACCTTCGGTTTGCCGACGATATAGTCCTTATGGCAGAATCGCTGGAGAACTTAAGCACTATGCTCAATGACTCAATAGTGGTGGTGAAAATGATCCCAACGGATAGGTCTTAAGATGAACATGGACAAAACAAAGATCATCTTTAATTTCCTGTTTAATGTTAAATTAAAAAGGCGGTCGTTGTTGGGAGCACTAAGCTCGAAGTTGTTGACGAGTACGTTTACCTGGGACAAATAGTCCGACTAGGTAAGTCTAACTTCGACCGAGAGATCAATCGACGGATTCAAATCGACTTGGCAACGTTCGGTAAATTACGACACTTCTCGTCAGGTATACCTCAAAAGCTGAAAATTAAGTTGTACAACCAGTGCGTGTTGCCAGTGATGACCGAGACTTTGTCCTTCACTGCTGGCCGTATGAGGACGCTCAAGGTCGCTCAGCGAGCTATGGAGAGGGCTATGCTCGGAGTTTCTCAGCGTGATAAACTTAGAAATTAGGATATCCATAGTACCTAATATTTTTATTATTTATTTATTTATATTTATTATATTATTTATATTTATTATTTATATTAATATTTTTTCAACAAATTGAAGTTAATTTATCCCGCTATGAAATCTGTGAAATATTTCGCCTCATTCCTGGTAGTAGAAAAAGCGCCCTCATTACATTTCACTGCTTTACTGCGTACTCTATGTGTCGTCAGTCTGCGTAAACGTGTTTAAATATGTATATATTACGTATATTTGTACATATGTACATATGTTTACAGAGTGTCTGATTATCAATTTGATTTAGGATCCCCTGTTCGGGGGGGTCGAGATACGCGAGTGCTAACTACAATATTTGTATCACCTATGTTGTAATTACAAAGCTGTCTTTGTTTAACGGTAAACAGTTATAAATTTAGTGCTGCGGGAAAAGTACTCGATTGAATCGTACATATCCAAGGTTGTCAATATCTTTTGAGAAAATACTATAAATATCATCATCATCATTACAGCCCTTCGTAATGAGGATATCCATAGTAGAACCAGAGTGACCGACATAGCCCAACGGATTAGTAAGCTGAAGTAGCAATGGGCCGGCCATACAGCTCGAAGAACCGACAACCGTTGGGGAAAAAAGGTTCTGGAGTGGCAGCCTTGTACCGGTAGGCAAAGTGTAGGGCGACCCCCCATTAGATGGAGTGACGACCTGGTAAGACATGCAGGAATTCGATGGATGCAGGTGGCTCAGGACCGTGCTTTGTGGCATACCTTGGGGGAGGCCTATGTTCAGCAGTGGACTTGTGAAGGGCTGTAATGATGATGATGATGATGTATCTGAATCGTATTTCAAGCAATAATGTACTGTAGTTAGTCTTATTTCGAGTAGGTATCAACAGAAATTTTAAATATTGAAGATCTTTTTTAAAGAAATGCAATAAGCATTGTATTCATTTACACAATAATATTTTTTTATATGATTATTACCTTATTACGATAAGCTACTGCGAAACCAATAAATGCTACTTCTATTAGACAGCCCACATTGATCACGTCGATCACATCATAGCCCAAATGTCTTTTTTTATAGATTAAGAGTAACCCTCAGATGAAGTAAAAAAAGGTAGATATCGCACCTAGAACAAAAAACTGTAACCAATTTTATAACTATGTGTGAGTCAGAGAAATCCCTGAAAATCGAGATACAATACTACAAATATAAAAGTAATGCGATGCGAATGCGAAAGTATAGCTGTCTGTTTTAACAAATTTCAACAATTTGACGATTCAAAAAAAAGATGAAGCACGTAGGAGGCGTCTATAAATCATTAAAAATTCTTCTTTATAGATTGTCCAGTGAGCACGTAAGCATCGATAAAATACACCATATGTAATGTAAAACATGTTTATTATAAAAATTACTTAATAAAAAAAACCTAGTTGGAATAAAAAAATCAGTTTCCATGGAATTAAAAATGTACTTTTTAAATGAAAAAAGTGTATTTTAGTAAATGCAAAATAGAACAAACTCCAGCCGGGGTCACAAAGGTGTGTTCTAATTTGTACCTCGGGTAAGAGATATGAAGTATCAGCTGGAGAGGACACCTGAGTTTAGGTTAAAAAGAGCAAGACCGGCTTCACCGTCTCCGGGTAGTAGTGGACAGCATTAAGATTGGAATGAAGTGTCCTGATGTTGCAAAAACTCACGGATAGCGTGACAGGAGTTGCTTTGATCTTATTGCTCCGCTTGCCCCTAGCAGTTTTAGTCGCGAGCATGATTCCCCCCCCCCTCCCCTCTTCCCCAGAATATACGTAACAGCATAAGCACCAACGCTCAGGAAGAGTAAAGTAGCTTGGTCGTGGATGCTTAGCGAGGGATTCTCCGTCACCAGGAGTGGGAGTACCCTCTTGGGGTAGTTTTTATTTGATCCCGCTACGATGTTAAGGGGGGAGGGGGAATTGGGCCTCCAGCACAAGCGAAACGTAGAGATATTATGTGAGGTCGTGGTAACACCTCGGTTCAAGCTAGCCCATTCATGCGACATCAATAGCCGCTGCGTGGCTTTACCAAACAAGTCAAGAGGATGGCTGCCATTTTGGTTCATTTCAGCTCAGTGTTATAGCAGCTACCCTTCATTTTTTATAGGATAGGATAACAAACGAGAATACAGTCCACCTGATGGTAAGTGGCTGCTGTGGCCCAATGACATCTACATATATCCTCGATTACGAATCAAAATGTAGATACGTTGTCACCCGTGAGGACTAAGATGGAATGCCTCGTTTCCAGTAAAAAAGGTCTCCAGTTCTCTATACTTACCATACGAAATGAGCTGGTATTCTGTAAGAGCGTGATCCTTCCCCGGCCGAGCCGATCCACTGCAGCATGGCTCTACCCCGTAAAAATTCACGTCTTATTAAAATATTCGTTGGTAGCCTAAAATCATAAATATTTTTTGATAGTAAAATAATTTGTAAGTACTTAACAATTAAAACAGAAACATCAGCGGCTTAAAAATTAATTAAATATTTTACCTTGACTTCAATGTAACGTAACATAGTAACAACTAATAAAAAAATATGCCGACTATATATATTTTATAACGCAGCCTAAAATTAAATACACAAATCTTGGACCATTAGAAATAATAAATACTGGCAACATTCTCCCGTTACGTAATCTCGAAGCATTGACATTCGCGCTTCGAATAACCTTCAAAATTGTGTTGGAATAACAAATTAAAATATAGTTAAATGAGTGTTTACGAGTGAAACGATAATGCTTCAGACTTTTTGTTCACTTTAGTATTGTTTTTGCACACATTTAACTACACAGAACGGCATTTTGTAGGCAAATTTACTGCACGATGCCCCTGGAAGTACTGAGCAAAAATGAGCGTAGTTTGATGCATGTGTGTGCGTGAACGCGTGTGCTTACATAAAGGAGCTGAGTTCTTTGGCTTCACCAATAACAAAGGCGGTGCTGTATCTACCTTTTTTTACTTCATCTGAGGAGTAACCAAGTTAGATAATCATGTCTCAGGGATTGTCTATACGAGCGTATCAATACCACTAATATCAATCAAGGTTTTCTATCTCACTGACCTAATTAGTGTTGAATAATGAGGTGAGATAGGCGATCGACAAGGAGGTTGCGAGCTTGGAACTAGCCGTTGACCAATCGAGTCATTGGTCCACCTGATGGTAAGCGGATACTGTGGCTCATAGACTCCAACATCTATTTTTAATTAACAGTCAAAATGAATGTGTTGTCACCCCAGAGAACTAAAATGAAATGCCAGTTAAAAAGGTCTGCCGTTATCAACACTCACCATACGAAAGATAGCAACATTAAGCTATTATTTTACGCAGGTATTCTGTGAGAGTACGGTCTCGCCCCATTCGTGCTACAACTATAAGCTGCAGCTTGGCTCTATAACGTATAGTTGATTGGTAGCTTAAAGAAACATACCTCAAACTCGTGGGAAAGAGATGGACCGCGTATGCTGTAAGTGGCCCGATGCCTAGAGCAGTTATCTGTAAGGCTGACATGGATATCCCGGCGAGTAATCTGCAAATAAGGTAAAACAGAATAATAACAGCCTACATAAGTCCCATTACTGGCCAGGCCTCCTCTCAGATCTGAAAGGGTTTTGGAGTAGGAAATGATCATCATCAAAAGCTGTAATGATGATACATTACAGCTTTCCACAAGTCCATTGCTAAACATAGCCCCTGCAATGTCGCGGCCATTTTGGCCAATATGGCGCATCTGTCAAGCGCTTTCTGAAGTACTTCCAGACTACTTCCTGCTGTTCATTAAAATGACTATTTCCAAGACATTTCGTATGAAAGGTATATTAAAATCATACAGGTATCAATGGAAACTTTATTAAATAAGCTATCAGATTATGTATAATTTGAATACAGGTTTACTTCGAAAGCGATACTAATTTGAAAGTGAAAGTAAGAAAAGTGTTTCTTTCGCCAATTTTTTGCAAAGGTGTAATAATAATAATAAGTTAAAGCCTTTATTCCAAGTACTATTTGTTTCACTTGTACGTCAAAAGCATATTTAACTCTAAATAATTAAAACAAAAAACTTTTTCATACATTTTTTGTTTACGACAAGGTATATGTGGCCGGTCCACTGTCTCTTCAGTTTATTAATTCGTTAAGTTACGTAATTGCAGTATTTCTCCTAGATAAACATACTCGTCAACAACTTCGAACTTAGTACTCCCGATTTTGTACACTCGATTTTCGTTTTGTCCATGTTCATCTCAAGACGTATCCATTGAGAGGCACTATTGAGATCATTGAGCATAGAACTTAGGTCCTCTAGTGATTCTATCTTAAGGGTTATATCGTCAGCAAATCGAAGTTAAGTGAGGAACTCACCATTGATGTTAAAACAATCCTTTCCAGTCCAGTAGCTTGAAAACATCTTCCAATGCAGCGGTGAAGAGTTTCGGGGATATAACGCCACCCTGTCTTACACCTTTCTGCAGTTGGATAGGTTTTGTACTCAGGTTCTGTACTCGGATAGCCATCGTAGCCCTACTGTTAAAATACTTCAGCACCTCGATATACCGATAGTCAACCTGACACTGCTGAAGGGAATATAGCACCTCCCAAATTTCGACGGAATCAAAAGCTTTCTCATAGTCCATATACGCAAGACATAGTGGCAGATTGTACTCCTCGGTATTCAGTACAATTTGCCAAAGGGGGTGTTTTTGGTCAATGGTACTAAAGCCTTTTCGGAAACCGGCTAGTTCCGGAGGCGGGAAGTTGTCGATTCTGCGTGCGAGAGATTCGTATTGACTCTCAACAGCAGCAAGTAGAGCGCTCTCTTGAAAAACTAGAGACATTTCTTGAAGAAAACGACCACCTCACTTCTGTCATATGCTTTCGCAGTAGTGCTACTATGAAGAACGGAATTAAAGAGATTTTGGACAATTATTTTTTTTTAATCCGCTTTCAGATGCGTTGGTGTAATTCCGTGCTCGCCGTACCTTTTGGTGATTCTGAGTATAAGGGACTCGTACGTAACCCTCGTCAACACACTCCCCATCTTTACAACGTTGTTAACGAGAGACTTATGAACGATAAATCTGACACCTCCTAAAGAGATGGTCGCCCAAGATAGAACAAGTTGCCGGATTTGAGGATAAGGTACGCAGTCCTCGTCGACACACTAACAATCTTTACAACGTTGTTAATGAGAGACTTGTGAACGATAAATCCGACACCTCCTCGGAACAGATGGCAGCCATCCCGGTGGATGGATTCGAGGATTACGGTGTCCTAACCTTCACTTTGGACCTCGGATAATCCTATAATACCCCGGCGCAACTTGTCTATCTCTTCTTCTAGCACCAGGGTCTTCTCGTCAGTCCTCAGGGTGGGCGCGTTATACATTTTTTATAGAAGAGGGGTTTTATAGAAGAGGCGTTATATGTTTCCAGAACGATTCATTTTCGGTGGCAACTGAACTTCTACCGGAGATTCGTAACACCACTGCCCCACCATCGCCGTGGTAGCCACCGTTGCCAGGAATAACGGAGCCGTTGGGAACTGGAAACCATCCTTTCGTAACTCTCATCATCGGGGGGTATATGGCCATAGTTGCCGACGGGTTGGCAATCGCAGTTTTTTGTTATTATTTTGCTGTTATCAGAAGGATCCTGCTGCGCATCTTCTGCGCCTCTTACGACACTAGCAAGAATACCCACTGCCCCATATCACGGGTGATATGGGGCAGTGGGTATTCTTGCCCGTCACTACACGGGACATGATATTAAATTAAAAAAATCATTTTTCGACGTCATCGTCATCAGCATCGTCATCAATAGTACAATATTCTTAACCAAAATAGTCAATACATGAAAAGGAAGTGTCTGTCTATCAAACTGACTGCCTTTAATTATAGATACACCGTTATTGCAATTTTTGAAAATAAGAGTAAATAAGGCTCCCACTTTTATTTGGAGTTAACCCAAATTAAATGTAATTTATCATCAACAACGTTTTTACCTACCGATCGGGCCTTAGAAGTGTCGATCGGTAGGCAAAAACGTTGTCTACCGAAACCCACAGTAAAATTAGTTTTAAATAATGTATTACCACTCATTTTGAATTTAAAAGATAAATAGGACGGAATGTTTGAATTTATTTATTTGTAGTTAACTTTTTGCCTATATAACTTAGTCTGAACCTTCTCTGCAAATTTGGCTGGCTATTGCAAAATAACCTTGTCTAAAGGATTTAGTCTGAGGTAAAATGATATAGAATAAAGTACCGCCATTCGGTACTGTCTTTATTTTTGTCTTTTTAACATTTTTTTATATTATTTAATAAATTGACAAATTTATTAAATAAATAATATTATTAGTAACCATATTGAATAAAATTATCTTAATATACCAATCCACTATTTCATAAATTCAATCAAATTTTGTTCGATAAAAAGACTACATATTATATAAGTACATGGCGCTGTTATAAGTACATTTTACTCGAATTAAAATATTCTTTTGATTTATTACACTAAAATTAATTCTTAAAATAAGGGTTGTAAAATTTGTTAGCTATAAAACTAAACTTTTATCGCATATTTTCACAGCGTGAAATATCTTATTTTATATTGCAGTTCATTCTTCAGTTTCGGATTTCCTCTGTCGCCTTTTGCCATACGCTCGGGACGCGACATGGGGTAGTGGATATACTTACACCGCGACCACATAATTTCATGTATCATCATTTAATTTTGTGGATGTCGTAAGAAGTGACTATGGCCAAACATTTTAAAAATGGACAACTTTTATAATCTTTGTAAAATATTCACTAATGAAAAATGGTATTGTAATTCTTACCTATATCTGGTAAGCTCTGACGTAATACAAGCGGCGCCAACTACCAAGAACATGGTAATAAGCTGGACTTTCTTGGAGACGAGACTGAGGCTGATCATCATCACTATTATGCCGTACACGATTGTCGCTACTATCATTATAAGGAAAGTATCTCGGGATATGGAGTCATTGCATGTGGCGCTGCTTGTCTGAAATTGTTATTGATTTAAATGTAAAAACTGATCACCAACCTACTCGTATTGGCCAAATCTTTAGTTTAGCGATTTTTAAGAAAGCACTTCATTAAGAAACAATCGATTTTAAACAACTTAAAAAAGAAAGCGGACAACATGTTTTTGACTCAGAGTAATACATACGTATGTAATTGCTATAAGGTTTTTCACTGGATATCTTACTATTTCACCCAGACATTGGTAAACTTTACGACGTCATTAGTAGATGAAATAGGTGATAATATATTTTTAGTAAAATATTAATATGTGGCAATATATTTTTATTTGTTTCAAAATTAAAGTGACTTATATTTTACTTTACATAATGATACATTTTTACATTTTCAGGCCTCATTCAGATCGAAAGCCCTAGGTGCGTGCTACATGTGCCTTTGGGGTAAAGAAAAAAAACCAGAACTGGGAGAAAGTACAACACCATAAGAAATCCTTCGGAGATAATAGTTTATTGTAGAAGCCTCAGAAAAGTGAAGTGAAAGTAAAGTTGCAGTCTATTTACTCGTACGTTCCACAGTTGGGCATAGCCCTCAATGACCAGCGGTCATGAAAATGACCAGCGCGCTGTCTTAATGTTTGTTGGCGAACTAAACATGACTAATAAATATTTTTTAAATCTCCTCTATTATGTACGTTCCCTTACGATGTTTTCCTTTACCGCCGAGCATGTGGTTACCGAAATTGTTATCCGCAGCTTACAGCTATAAAATATAATAGTTTAAGTACCTTATTTTCTTGGAGGTTTATCACTTCGCAGATAGTGCTGTAAGCCGTATTCGATGGATTTAATAGTTTGTTTATTGTGTCCGCTGCGAAAATGTACAGGCCATTCAAGCTAGAAAGTAGAAACATATAGCATACAATTAATAATAATGTGTGTGTGATAGTTTGAAATTGCTTCGAGGGAATTTTTGTCACGTGGTAAATTGGCACTTAAAATTGCAATTAACAATTTTTCGTACTTTACTGTTAAATTTACGGAGGATGCTAAACCTCTGAGCGACTAGGGCTCTTTATTCACCGTACCAGAACAAAAAAATTGTTACAACACCTACTTTATTTATCAACTTATCACAGACTACTGGTTGGAAAGGAATGGAACTAGAGATGAGCTCTTTTCCTTTGTTTGAGGGATATTCCTTAATCGCTCAGATATTTTAAGTCTGTATACAAAAGGGATGGTTATCCAACCATTTCTTGGAAGCCCTGGGATATTTCTGGCATTTTCTATAGTGCGTTGTAAGAGACAACACCCGTGGGACGAAGTGAGGTGACGGTTTCTCTCATGTTGCTCAGAAATTTGCTTTAAAATAAAAACTGAATTTACATAAGTCTGAAGGTATAAGTGTCTATTCAAGCCTAGGTTGAGGAATATAGGTATTAGAGGTATCCCACAAGGATCCATTCTAGGGCCTCTTCTGTTTGTGCTCTACTGCCTAACTAAAGTTATTAACGACTGCCAATTTTACATTCACACTGATGACTTTCAATTAAATTAATTATTCTACGCTAGGTATAGAATTGAGCACAATCGATAAGCCGAGTACCTACCTATAGATTTCAAAATAACTTACAGAGAAAATAAGCCAAACATAAGGAAACCAAGAAGAGCAAGCCATTGTAAGTGCGGTGGACGCAACAGTGAAAATATCGAGTCATTTCTCTGAGAACTCCCCAATCCTAACTCTGTTCCGTTCTCGTCCATAGACCTCTTCAAAGATACTACCTGAAATATTTTTTAATAGTATTAGGGTTATAGTCAAACACACAATTCGTATGATGGTGATGAACTGGATGCTGTTGCCTATATACATCTACGTCTATCCTCGATTAAAAATCAAATTGTAGATGCATTTTCACGTCTGAGGGCTAAGATAGAATGACTCGTTAACAGAAAAAAGGATCTCCGGTTCTCTACACTCACCATACGAAAGACAGAAGCATGTATGTATTCTGAGACCGCGTGGTCCTTCCCCGATTAAGCCCACCCATTCGTTACGCTGTGTAATAAATGAAATAAACCCAACCCACTTGGATTTCAATCTAATTCCTCCGAAGGTTGTCTGGAAGCAATCGCTGTAGCAATTGTCCCATCGTACTGCCATTAATTTTCCTTCGCTTTTTCTTTGGTTTCCCTATTGTGTTACCGGTTGCGATACAGTGTTTTCTTTTTCAATATATTTTTTTTATTTCCATTCCCAAATTAAAAATACAAGCAAAAGTAGATTTGGCTACCATAACTAACTATGTCAAATTTTTGTCATCTACGTGAATTGCATCAAAAAAAAAACTTCTGTGACAGACAGTGAGTTTCGAAGGAGAATCGTTAAATGTTTTGTTTTACAAAATTCGGCACGGAACACCACCAAGTGGACTATTCATGTTCATCTGAATGTAACTTGACTTCAAATAATGAAGGCGACAGGTGCGTTATAGCCCCTTACGTATTTACAGAATTTACATCACTATGTTTAATAAAATATTGTTATTTTTGTATGTATATGAAACGATTGATGATTAATGATGATTTTGTATGTATGTGAAAACTAACTTTGCATCCCTTTTATGAATTTCCATAAAAGGGATGCAAAGTTAGTTTTTTAAACTTTTCTCTAAAGACTCCTTTGTATTCAAGTTATAAATTGTTCTTGAGACTCTCATCTACAAAACAAAGATAGCTTCTGTCAGCGTGTTTGGTGACAACAAGATTCCATACGATATAATGTTATTAATTTATTAATTGCAGCCTTTAAAAAGTCCACAGCAGAGCATAGTCCTCCCCCTAGATTGCCTCATGTGCAGGATGTTTGTCGTAGTTGCCATAGTTGACGATCGTGTTTTTTTTTTTAATTTATTCTTATAAAGAGTGTACATTATTAACATTTAAAAATTTTCCAAACTGTAAGCCAGTTTGTCGGCAAGTGCCAAAGGCAATGTGTTGATCATTTAAATTTTTTAAATTGTTATTAGGGAAGTACTACTACCCACATCTTATTTTATTTCTCTCTGTCGCTTCTTTCGGCACCCACGGGATATAGGGTAGTGGAATTATTTATGATAAAGTTGTTCAAAAGTAATTTTTCTATCTATTCTGTGCATTACTTATGAAACAATCGACAACACCTTGGAAATAATGCTATGGAAATATTTAAACTAAATTATCTAGCTATTTCAACATAAGTAGGGCTTCAAGTTCATATTATGATCAGAGCTAATTCTAATAACCAGTTTAGATATGTGGAGCCTTACAGAAGATTTAGATAATATATTATCCTTTGCTTTTAAACCGTGTACTAGCGGTGTAACTACACTACCCCATATCGACCCGTGGTAAGAAACTGAAACTGGAGATAGGCATCTGCATCTTCCTGATATGAGCTAAATTAAAAAAAAAACTGCAATTGCCAATCTGCCTGCCAAGCGAGGCAACTATGGTAAAATCCCCCCTATAGGGTAATCTATGGGGGAGGCTTGTGTTCAGCGGTGGTATAAGTTGTAATGGACGGGTGAATGCTTTTACAAAATATTTTTCAGTTTGATGGCTCTCAGCATCAGGTTGAATTTGAATTAATAACTTACACAAAAACTCTCCTTTTTCAAGCCACTGTTCACAGAATAAATATACCTCAGCACCTCCAGAGCCTCGTCGTGCTTTCCTCTAGTCATAAGGAACTTTGGACTCTCTTTCGTCAGGGTCAGGATGAATGCAGACAAAATCAAAGGCAGAGCGTATACCGTTGTGAGCAATCGCCAAGGCTTAAAGCCATACCAGACGTTTGACAAAATGGTCCAACCTAGAACTTTAATATACAATCATTAGCAGCCGTTCAGTTCATGCATCTAAGAGCCTGTACAACTTTAACATTAGATGTAAGTCTTTCTCATACTTACCAGGCTTGTCAAGTGGGTTGTTTACAGCAGTGTCAGACGGAAATAAAAGTTACTCATCTTTTTAAAGGAGCGCACAGTCCACCTGATGGTAAGTGGATGCTGTTGTCTATAGATATCTCTACATTTATCCTCGATTAATAACCAAAATGCAGGTGTGTTATTCCTGAGGGCTATGATGAAATGCTCAGTTTCCAGGTCTAAGGTTCCCATACTAAACCGGTATTCTGCGAAATCACGGTCCTTCCCCGGTCGAGCCGACCCATTCGTGCCGTAACCGTAAAACAGTCGCACTGGGCTATTCCACGTGTATTTTATTTAAGTTTTTTTTTAATAAAATCATTTAGTTGTAATCCAACTTAGTAGCTTGCTTACAACTTAGACGCCCTTTTCAGGCACTGCAAATTTGACAAGGACACTGCTTAAACATACAATATAAAATATACTTAGAACTTAGAAGCTAAATAAATAGAATATTTCTTGCTGTTGCCATGATTAAATTCGAATTTGGTATTTAAATCTAGCCTACTAACCAACGGCTTTATTAGTCCAATTTTACCATATAATAGAATACATTAGAATAGAATAGTTTTATTCAATATATTTATAGATACAAGAATATTTATTAGAGTCAGTCACGCAAACGAGTAAACAGTCTACTTGATTGTAAGTGGATGCGATATCCCATAGACATCTACCTTAATTCTCGATTAAGAATCAAAACCCAGATGCGTTGTCATCCCTGAGGACTAATATGGAATGCCTCGTTTCTAGTAAAAAATGGTCTTCAGATGTCTACACTAACCATACCAAGCATAGCAGTATTAATCTGCTATTTTATGCTGGTATTCTGAGCGTGGTCCATCCCCGGTCGAGCCATAATAGAAGCGATAAAGATAATTTGAAGTTAGATATATATTCATTATATAAATTTAGGTAAGAGATTTTAAGTTGATATTGGAAAAATGCTGCAGCTCATCTCTTAATTCAGTTTCTGGCTGTCACCGTTGAGGTCACTCACGGTATTTTATGAGGTAATGGACTCTCTTTCGACGCCACTTCACGACGAGCAGTATATTTGTATTAGAGGTATGGCATCTGAAAATATTGTATTACCCTCAGAAATAAAAGAAGGCCTGTGCCCTGATGTACTACACAAATAGTCGCTACTTTTACCTAATACGAGTACACTAAAAACAATATGGTTGTATATATTGACATCTTCCATAAGAAGTATTTAATTTTTGTTAAACTTTTTGACATATTGTTTTGTTCACATCATAACGGTGGTTTAAGAATATCTTACCTGGGGTTAAAGAAGCAGAGAGCATAAGGAAAGCATTGCATGTCAACAGGGTCACATCTCGTCGCTTCCTCGGCATCAGTTCACCAGCATACGCGAAGCAAAGAGAAGATGGACATGATAAGCTAAAACGAAACCAATTAAATACAAAAATGTTTTGAATTACATATCAAATAGTTATAGTTTTATTTATAAAAATACCTATAAACGAAATAAAATAAGTACAGTACAGTAAGTAAATACACTGTTTAACCCTTAGTATCGTGTTATGATTCTGTTAAACCTCTTTATTTAGAGAATAAATGAATAATACCTCCCTAAAATTTTATTACATAGGGAAACTTACATGACAATATTTAAATAAAACTAGTTTTTACTGATTTTATCGTGTATATTGATTTATTTTAAATTCCCGAAGTTTCGAGAAATTTACAGCACCCGTGAATTGCTCGAAACTTCGTTTAATCACAGCAGGTGATTAAACAAACTTACCTTCAGTTCGCGTAGTGTATATATTCTTTGCCTTCAGTGAAGTTCAATGATTCAATCACAATTATACGAAGCTCCTTGCCCGAGACTAGACTCTCACCCATCCCTTAAGACCCAAGCAAGGGTGGTAGGTACTCTTATTAGTTTGTGGTTGTTCATGGCCTCTAAACTAATGAAAGGCCTCTAAACTAATGAATTTCTGTATATTATATTACTCTACTCTAATGTCAAAGTTAACCACGGCTACCCCCAAATTAAAATTATTAATTTCTATTCCGATCTACGCAGTATGAACTAATAATAATATCTTGAAATCTTGCAGTTTCGCTGTCCGATCCCTGCGGCTGTTATTCGGTATTGCTGTTTGATTTCGTATAGTTGTTATAACACCCTGTGGTGGCGATGTAAGAATATCTACTGCCCCATATCACCCGTGTGTGTCATATAAGGCGACAGAGGGTATTTGAAACAAGAGATAGGCAGCAGCGTCTTCCTGATTTCCTGAACCAACTCAGCGCCCATGTACGGCAGATTACATTTATAGGCTGTAATGATGACGATGATGACTTCTCAATCCTTTTCGTTAAATAAATAATAAAATCGGAAACGGAATTGAATAAAATGGGAAACACTAACGAAAACTTTCCCCGGATTCATGAAAACCGCGAGCGCCCTGAAAACTAACGCGGCGAGGTCATTGATCTTCTGCTATAATGTTGTCAGGTTTTAAAACTATGATTATTTCAGAAAAAAATGTAATTAAATACGTAGTTTTAAAATAATATATATATATATAACCGTAATATTCAGCCGTGGTAGCTCAGTGGTTAACGCTCGCTGTAAATATAACAGAACGCGAGTAACCCGGGTTCGATCCCCGCCGGCACCAATTAAATTGTTAATTGCAATTTTAAGTGCTGATTTACCACGTGCTCGGCGGTGAAGGAAAACATCGTGAGGAAACCTGCATGTCTGAGGAATAAGGAAAAAAAATATTTCGAAGACATGTGAAGTTCGTCAACACGCGTTTGGGCAGCGCGGCGGACACTTCCTTGCCCTAAACCCTCTCAGAAATGAGGGGAGGCCTGAGCCCAGCAGTGGGACGTATATAGGCTGTAACTTTACTTTTACTTTTATATGGTACATATTGCTATGAGCCAATGTTATTTTTGAGTCCTTTGTGCCAGAAATAAAAATATTGTAGAATAAAATACCATTTTTATATTCACGATTTCTATGTTTTTCTATTTATATTCTGTATTCTTATTGATATAACCTAAGACCTTTTTAGATCGGACAGGGTTAATTACGTTGTATAATATTATGTATAAAATCATTAAAGAATAATACTTGTTCTTATTTTGTTCTTTTTTGTGTTTTTTAAACTAATAATGTAGAACAATGTCAAAGATATGAAAATGTCTGATAAGGTGGGTGCCCCCATTACCAGCCTTTTAGTGCCAAATACAACTTTAAAAATTCCTGCTACTTTAATTAGCGGACAGTATTTTAAACATATTTTAATCGATGAGCTATTTATCTAAAAATGTAATGAATATTTATTTACAATCATATTATTACGAGAACAATTTTAAAAACTACGCTAAGTAAAAAAGGCGATATGGCTCAAATTCCAGCCGCCCTGCACAGAATATCGCCCTTTCGTGTACCTAATACCAGCATAGCATAGGGTTGTACCTTACGAGTTTTGGTAAGTGTACCTCTTGCTAGAAAGTTTTATAGGCACAGTAATAAACTCGTAAAAATTTAATTTTGATTTTAATTTTGAATCATGCGTGTCACAAGCATGAAGTATTAATGCAGACGACAACAGCTATTTTATTGACTGTGTTTAGTTTTAAGCAGTTCGATCTTTCTTTTAAAACAAAACAATTAATTAAAGCAAATTATTTTAAAAAAATGAAGCACATCGTACTTTCTTATAATCTAATCATGCAAGTTTTCGAATCATCTTCATCATTGCAGCCCTTCACAAGTCAACTACTGAACATCCTTCTTCACAAACTGCCGCAAATCATGGTCCTGAGCCACTTTCTTTTTGTCATGAGTTTTTATTTATATTCTAATTTATAATTAGTATTACTAGTCAGAGTTAATTGTATTTATTTCTTGTCTTATTCTTTCTCAAAAAATAATTGAATATATAAGGTGTTCTTAATATACATCGAATGTCTGATAGAAAAACAAGTACATGTTTTGGTAAATGTTACCAACCAATTTTAAAACATAGACAAATCGAACATAACTCCTTCAATTTTAAAATAAGTAAAGTTCTAATTAGTGGTATTTATTCCAGTTTATGAATCATGTATAAATAAAGCTAAATAAATAAATAAAATTCTAGTTAATGACAGCCCTGATTTATGCTACTTGACTAAGGTACTTCTTATTAGGTACGTAAAACCAAATATCAGCCTGACGGTTTATGCACCCCATACATTTCGTGTATCTAATTACAGCCCCATTAATTACCACTAAAATTAAATAAAAAAAAAACTTGTAAATTTAAACAAAAATGACTGCATTACTATGTCTTTAGTCATGAGTCATACTTAAGCAAATCAAAAAGCCTGCAGATGAGCTAATAAGGCTTAATTTTATTCAACAAACGACAACTTGTCAAAAAATTAGAAAAATGAGCGTTATCCGTTGCATACACGTTTTGATTTTTAATTTAAAATTTTTAGATTTATAATTGTGTGATAGTATTTCAAATATGCTTTCCTCCAGTTATGAAGAATTTTTTAAGCTGGCAATATTGGTAGTAAAGACTACTAGAAACCTTATTTACGAAGTACAAAGGTGAACAGGCTGGAATCAGAGGCGTGGCTGGTATTAGGGGCATCCACCCCACTGCGTTCGTAATCGCGAAGAAGTAGTAGCTAAATATGGGTTGGAAATTATCTATTTTGAAAATTATAATAATGGCTTTAACTCACAATAAAGATCCGGCTAATTTGCACAGCGCGAATGTAAGTAATGAAGGCATAAATGACGCGATGAAACCAAAAAACCCTGCGAACGCTGAAGACAACAATAGAACTGGTTTTCGACCCAGAGAGTCAGCTGCTCTTCCCCAGAGTGGAGCCGTCAAAATAACGCCTGAAAATGGAATAATAGCATTTTTGTTTAGTAAGTTAAAACAAAATTAAAAAGTAATCATCCGATGTTATTTGGCTGTATTTTTTTTTTACAAATGAAAAACTTTGATTCTGTTTGTGGATTATTTATGTTTAATTCAATAGAATTTTTCCCATCAAGTTGAGAAGACAATATCGCACAAGTGGCAGCCGCCAGCATTAATGACCATACGAGCCTTTTTTATGGCAATTTCAGGCGATAAGTTCGCGCATTCGTATCGGATGTTGTTCTTGAGGGCTTCCAGAGTCTGAGGCCACGAGGTTTCAAAAACCCCCACAAAAAGAAGTCTGGTACGGTCAAATCGGGCGATCTTGGCGGCCAGTGCAAATCGCCAGAGATTAGGCGATCCGGAAATGTCTGCTTGAAAATGTCGGTTGTGACTCGGTCAGTGTGTGCTATTGCACCGTCCTCTTGGAACCACATATCCTCCAGTCCCAGCTCATCCAATTGAGGAAACAAACTCATTGATCATGGCTCTGTAGCGGTCGCCGTTCACAGTAACCGTTTGACCCGCGACGTCCTCAAAAAAATGCCCCGATGATTCCTACGGCGTAAACAGCGCACCATGTCATAACCTTGAGTGGGTGTAATGGATCTTCGTGGATCACACGCGGATTCTCAGTGCCCCAGAAGCGATAATTTTGGCGATTCGCATAGCCGTTGAGGTGGAAATGAGCCTCATCGCTCATGATGAGTTTCGATGAAAAATCGTCATCTTCTTGGTCGAGATTCACGATGGTTAGGTTACGCGCGTTTGGTGGTCAACAGTTAACAGCTGTTGCACTGTCTGCTTTTTGTTAGAACATCTTTAGGTCTTTCAATAAAATTCGTCCCCCAATTGCGTGGCACGTCGTCTGATCGATGATTCGGGGTCCGTTTGGACATCTTCTGCTACCGTGGCGATATTCTCAGCAGAACGGCTAGTCCGAGGCCGGATACGTCGATGAACATCTCGTGTTGTCCCTGTCTCTTCAAGGCGGACAACCCAACGCCGCAGCGTTTGTCCAGTTCGTGTCGAACGGCCGGGAAATCTGCGACGAAATTCACGCTACGCTAATATCACAGACGAATAATTGCACAGAAAAATGGAAATAATTATTCCGCGTTCTTGAGTAGTATAGCGATTCGTGGCTTTTTGACATGCAAAGACATTTAAGTAGTGTATATTTAAATCTCTTTGTTGACATGTATTTTACATCTGTTTACTTCAAATATGTCAAAACCGATTTGACATTTGACGCCATTTCAAAAATTATAGTGTTTTCCAATAGGGTGATATTTGCCTAACCAGTTAGATAGTCATCCGTATAAGTATAATATACTAAAAATAGTGTCCAATTGTGTTCTACGTATTATAAAATGTTATAATGTATAATGTGGCAAGTTGATGTCACCACCACGCAACATGACGCAGCCATCGAACTTATCATCCATAAATTCAATGTTTCCCGTGCATTATGGCGAGTGGCGCCATCCCGTCCACCACATACATCACACGTCAGTAGCCACATGTTTATGAATTTTGTATCCTAGGCCACAAAAATAATTGACCTTTGTATGGATGAAAATCGAAGTCTCGACGTAAAATCCGCCAAGTTTATGTCGCAGAGAAACTCAACTCTAGCGCACGATGCGGAATGGACTGTCTGGAGTTTTCTCGCACACTGTCCTGAAATTTTTTTCATAATCTAATAGAAAACAAAGAAAATATAAAAGTTTGAACATCTGATCCCAAAAAATGTAGTGGCGGCAAAGCCTTATCAGTTGTTCCATTTTTATTAATAATATTAGAGTTCGGACGTTACTTAATACAATAAAACACTAAGAATAGGAATAAACAAAAATAGATGATATTATACTTTTAAGTATATTTTTATTATACCTATATTTGGTATAGATGCCACAATTCCCCTTAAATTGTCTGGTAAATCTAAATCACAGGCAGCAGAAGGAAGTACGAAGGAATATCCGATCATCTCTAGTAGAGCAGCTGCCAATGTCACTACCATCAACGCGCAATGAAAATATTGGTATTTGCCAACGCCTGCAAATAAAAAACAGCAACGTTTATCTACATTGATAATTTATAACGTTTTAATACCCTTCAGACCGATTTCAGAAAAGGTGGATGGTTTCAACATCTGATGAAACCGTCGTTAATCATGTAGATGTCTATGGGCAACAGCACTTACTATACTACCTAGGTAGCCTGTGTGCTCGCTAATGAACAACTTTGATGTGTCTCTTGGCCTTTGAGCAACATCAAAACTATTACGAATTACTAACATTTAAGTAAATTTTTTTTACTATTCTTTTTTTTTTCTATAGGATAGGGTGACAAACGAGCACACAGTCCACCTGATGGTAAGTGGTTGCTGGGGCCCATAGACATCTACATCTATCCTCGATTACGAATCACCACGGAGACTAGCTATCTGTGTACGAGAGGGTTATAGTGGACGGGTAAATGCGCAAGCACAGGTGCACTCTCTATTCCCTCACTCTCATAGTCCGATGGGACAGCAATCCGAGAAGACCGGAGAGAGTTCAGAGGCAGGACTACTTTACGTGCTTTCTAAGGAACGTGGATGAAACACCACCAATTTCCTGACTCCAGGCCGACCTTGGCTCGACCCAGGATTTAAATTCGGACTATGTGATCACTGATCGCGTTTACTACAGCCACAAGATCATGTAGATACTCTCAACATACAAATCAATAAACGCAAAAAAATACCTATATTATAATGTAGAAGCGTCAAGACTTAGCGGCCTAAGGAAATCCATAACCCTATTTTGTCCCGTCACTGCCCTACCCCTACTAAGAGCCGTGGTAGCTCAGTGGCAAACGCTCGCTGTAAATATAACAGAACGAGAGTAACCCGGGTTCGATCCCCGCCGGCACCAATGAAATTGTTAATTGCAATTTTAAGTGCTGATTTACCACGTGCTCGGCGGTGAAGGAAAACATGGTGAGGAAACCTGCATGTCTGAGGAATAAGAAAAAAATATTTCGAAGACATGTGAAGTTCGTCAACAAGCACTGGGGCAGCGCGGCGGATATTTCCTTGCCCTAAAACCCTCTCAGAAATGAGGGGGAGGCCTGAGACCAGCAGTGGGACGTATATAGGCTGTAACTTTACTTTTACTTTTTTTAATGCCCTACCCTAAAAAGCACATACTCGTATACTATAACCACAGTATAATCAGGCCTATCTCACTCTTGCTACCTGCGTGAAATAATAATTAGGTACCTAAAATCGCGAGTCACCGATGGTGAAATACGCAGTCGGGGCTAGCGTGTTCTAGGTGATTGAATATTAAAGTTTACGTAAATAATTTTTTGTAAAAACTTGTTGAAATAGTTTTTGTTTAGGGCTTCGTATATTTAATTGTAAGATAAGAACCTTTTTACTGGAGACGAGGCATTCCATCTTAGTCCTCACGGGTGTGAGGACTAATGAAATAGTTAAAAAAGTTTTAATGAAATTTAAATATTATCCTATACCTTTAAACGAGCAATTCTTGTATATATATATAATCGGAATCTCGGAAACGGCTCAAACGATTTTCATAAAATTTTGTGTGCAGGGAGTTTCGGGGGCAATAAATCGATTTAGCTAGGATTTATTTTTAGAAAATGTCTTTTTGTCCGTGTTTTTAGGCAATGAAAAACTGCTACAATATCGTTAGAATAAGAAGGTAAATTTTGACACTTTATTATTGATTACAATTAGCTTAATTAGTATATTGGGCGGGCACAAAATCCTAATACCATGGATCGAGCCCAGACCGACCGACTTTTTTAATTTTTTTTTTCAAGTTCCTTTCTTTTTTTGAGAAAATCTATTTTTTTCGGGCCTTTTTTTTAGTATTTTTTAAAAACACGAAAATTTAAACTAAAGTAATTGCACTCATGATTTTTTATTCAAATAACCAGTTCAGTTTTTTTCGCTAAGATCAAAAAATATTATTCGTATTTCATCAGTATGTAATTTGTATCTAAATATAATTTCCAAAACACACGAATTAAAAAAACCGAGCGAAAAATACCGAGCAAAGCTCGGTCAACCGGGTACTATATATTATGTATATTAACCATCTATTTGATAAATTTTAATATGGCAAAACGTCGTTCCTTCTACTATTTTTGCTTGAATCGACGCTCTTCAGATAGGTAACTTTAAAATAAGTTAAGTTCTTATTAATGGTATTTATTCCAGTTTATGATGTATGTAAAGAATAAATAAAGCTAATCGTATATCGTTTATCTATTTACAGCCCCATTAATATCCACTATTCTTTTATAATTATTTTATAAAAACGTTCCCCCCCCCCCCCACACTTGGATTTTCTACTGTATCGTGGAGGCAGCTTACAAACATAAATTGCACAAGGACACACATTCAGACCCGAAACAATTATTTGTAGGATATATAAATACTTGCGTGCGGGATTCAAACCCGCGGCCCCCGGAACAGCCACTCATTGCTAAGCCACTGCGCCACGGAGCCGTCGTCTAAAATAAAATAAATTCGTCCGCACATTGGCCCGAACCGAAGTAAACTGAACGACGTTCCAACGTGTGGACGCCGTCACCAACTCTCGGCCAATATATTCGCCACTACATTCGCCACTGTGTTGGCCAACGTGTAGAGCCGACATAAAAATCCGACACCACACGGATCTCGCGCCAACCTGCGGGCCATCGTTCCAATACATACCAATGAAGCCCAAACACCCCGTCTACACGTTGGCCAATGCTATTGGCCACTACATTCGCCACTGTGTTGGCCAACGAGTAGAGGCGCCGTTACAAAAGATCAAAGGATTGTTGGCAGAGTTTGGTCGCCGCGTCCACACGTTGGCCGCGAGTTTAGTTTGCTACAAGCTCCCAGAGTGATTACACGCATCTGATTAAAATTTTATATTCACGCTTTGTAGGGAGGATGACCCAATTACCTGCCTTTTAGTGCCAATTTCAACTTTAAACATTCATACTACTTTAATTAGCGCGATTTAATTATTTTTAAACATTTGTTTTATTCGATAAGCTATTTATAAAAAAAAAATAATGAACATTTATTAACAATCAGATTATTACGAGAACAATTTTAAAATGAAAAATAAAATGAAGCACGTCGTTTATACGTGGTAGAAACATGCAGTTATATTAGAAGTATAGTTGTAGCACGAATGGGTCGGTTCGACCGGGGAAGGACCACGCTCTCACAGAATATCAGCGTGAAATAGTAGCTTAATGCTGCTGTGTTTCGTATAGTGAGTGTAGAGAACCAGAGACACTTTTTAAAGGAAGCGAGGCATTTCATCTTAGTCCTCATGGGTGACAACGCATATGCATTTTGATTCGTAATCGAGGATAGATGTAGATGTCTGTGGGCCACAGCAACCACTTACCATCAGGTGAACTGTGTGCTCGTTTGTCACCCTATCCCATTGAGTTATACATCACTAGAGGAGCAAACCCCATTACCGCGCGTCGAAAAAAGTGTAACCACTATCCAAACGCGACGACGTAGCTTTGAAACAATAACAATTTTAAATAAACATATATCTGTCTCACTTACACAAGTTACGAAAACAATATCGTCGCTAAGATTAGATAAAAATAGACACACAAATATACAATGGCGGGTTGGTGTGGCTTACTATATGAAATTTTACCTAAAATACGCAATAAAATGAGTTTTTTTTAAGCTGCAGTTAATTGTTTTTATAATAAAAAAGTATATTTTATTTTGAAATCTTTATTGCATCCCCTGGGAAAAAAGGATACAAAGCTTATCAGATGAATAGAAGTAAACATAATGATGAAATAAAACATATTTTTATAAGTATTTTATAGTACCAATAAATCAAACAATATAAAATAGGTAATAAAATATAACTAATATAAAATTATAATTAATATAAAATTATTAATATAAAATAGGTAATATATTTAACAGATAATTCATGAATAAACTAAAATAAGAATAATTAATTATTTAGTATAAAAGTTAAAACGTAGTTTTTTATTATAATTTCCAAAATATTTAAAATCAGAGGTAACAAATTAACCTACTCATTAATTATATAGTCTCCCATTAATGTAGGAAATCACAAATGCGGAAAAGTTGCAACATTGAACCTAAATTTTAATTATTTGAGGTTTTTTACGTTTATATGAAAACAAGAACTAAAAATTATGTGTTGAATGTGATGCCGCTTGATTTATTATGTTTTTGTGACCTTGAATAGCATTCTTTCACTACACATTTACCCATTTTTTGTCGCGGCTCAACTCTGTCGGCGTCACATTGAACAGTGAACTGTCGTCAGTTAGGCATATGGCTGTGGCCATATGTGCAGTGGAAACGCTTTGGCGCGGTTATTACTGATCTAGTGAAATATATAAATCAATGCCCTATCCTATATAAAAAGCGTCGATTTCTTATAATTTAATCGTGCAAGTTTTCGAATCATCATCATCATTACAGCTCTTCACAAGTCCACAACTGAACATCCTCCTCCAAAGAATGCCGCAAAAGCATGGTCCTGAGCCACTTTCCTTGTCATGAGTTTTTCATTTATGTTCTAAGTTATAATTAGTACCTATTATTAAGTCAGTGTTAATTATATTTTGCTATTGTTTTTGTCTTTCTCAAAAAATAATTAAATTACCAAATAAATTATAAGGTGTTTTTTATATACATCAAATGTCTCATAGAAAAGCAAGTACATGTTTTGCTAAACTTTAAAAACAAAACCCAATTTTAAAACATAGACTAATCGATTATAACTCCTTTAACTTTAAAATAACTTAAGTTCTAATTAGTGATATTTATTCCAGTTTCTGATACATGTAAAGAATAAATAAAGTTAATCGTATATCGTATATCTATTTACAGCCCTATTAATATTCACTATTCTTTTATAATTATTTTATAAAAACGTTACCCCCCGCACTTGGATTTTCTCCTGTGTCGCGGAGGCTACTTACAAACATAAATTGCACAAGGACAACATCCAGACCCGAAACAATTATTTGTAGGATATACAAATAATTGTTTCGGGTCTGACAAAGAAAATTTATGTTGCAGAAGTGAATGGCAGAGTCGGAAAGGGACGTCCTAGGCGAAAATTTATCGACCAAATTGGCGATTTATTGAAAACGGGCCAAATTAGGAGTACCCTTAACCGACGAGCATGCATGCGTAGATGTATGGATGTGAAGGAGGCGAGAGAGGTGTGTCAGGATCGTGCCAAATGGAAGTCTGTAGTCTCTGCCTACCCCTCTGGGTGACAGGCGTGAGTGTTTATGTATGTATACAAATACTTGTTACGTGCGGGATTCAAACCCGCGACCCCTGGCACAGCCACTCATTGCCAAGCCACTGCGCCATGGAGCCGACGTCTAAAATAAAATAAATTCGTCCGCACATTGGCCCGAACCTATCTACCTTTTCTTCCGAACCGAGCATCGCGATTCCCGACAAATGGCCTTGCAACTTGCATGCGTTAGGCACGTATGGCAATTGGCAATTCACAATGCTGTATTAGTCCTTACTTTAACGTATGCTAGTGAAAGTTGGGTGTGGCAGAAGAAGCACGAGAGTAGAATAGATGCAGTAGAAATGCGGTCGCTAAGGAGTATGTTAGGGCTGAATCTGAGTGATAGGGTGAAATACTTCGGTGGTTTGGTCATGTAGAAAGAATGATTTAGAAAAGACTGACTGGAAGTGAATGGAAGAGTCGGAAAGCGACGTTCTAGGCGAAAGTTGTCGACATTGGCGATATATTGAAAATGGGCCAAATTAAGGGTACCCTCAACCGACGAGCGTGTATGCGTAGGTATATAGGTGTAAAAGAGGCAAGAGATGTCAGGATCGTGTTAAATGGAAATGTTAATCTCTGCCTACCCCTCTGGGTTACAGGCGTGAGTGTTTATGTATGTATGTGGTAATCATCAAATACCTACCATTTATTTTTAACCGACTTCAAAAAGGGAGGAGGGTCTTAATTCGACTGTATTTTTTATGTTGTTACCTTATAACTTTTTTTTTGTTTTTGATGATAACAACTTTTTTGATTTTGATGATCCTTTTTTTTAAAAGCTGGTGGTTTTCATGTGGTCCCACAGAAATATGATCAAGATCTGACCAGTAGTTTTTGAGTTATCCTTAATAATGATGCGTATTTGATTTACTTCGACTACATTGATGATGTTCTCATTTTCAACCGACTTCCAAAATAGAGAAGGTTCTCAATTCATCGGAATCTTTTTTAATGTTTCTAAGGTGTACTTCCCAGGTGGTCGCAATTAAATTTTGTAGAAATCGTTAGAGCGGTTTTCAAAAAAATAAATAATAAATTATATTTATATTGAAGTTGGTTGCACAAAATTTTTAATTTTACCTCTTGTATTAATATTGTAAGTTGGTTGTACAATTCTTATTATTTTAGTACTTTTCTTCTAACAATTTATTGATTACAATGAACTTCCAGTTTTTCGGATGAAATATAGCCTAAATTGATAGATCCTGGAATTGAATTCTAACTGTTTGTGAAGTTTTATTACAAACGGTTCCTTTAGTTTTATTACAAACGGTTCCTTTAGTTTTTTTACAAACGGTTCCTTTAGTTTTATTACAAACGGTTTATTTAGTTTTATTACAAACGGTTCCTTTAGCTTTATTACAAACGGTTCATTTAGTTTTATTACAAACGGTTCATTTAGTTTTATTACAAATGGTTCATTTCGAGGATTAGCCCCGACAGACAGACCGACAAGCAGACAGACAATAAACTATTTATTTATATCTTAATAGATGCAAATAACCCCGTCTTCTTAACAGAAGCTAGTTATATTCAATGTTATAGACGTACACTTAAATTTTACTCATATGTATAGATTACTATACGTGGTAGAGCCATGCTGCAGTTATATTAGTAGTATAGTTGTAGCACGACGACCGGGTAAGGACCACGCTCTCACAGAATACCACCATAAAATAGTAGTGTGTTTCGTATGGTGAGTTTAGAGAACCGGTGACAATTTTTGTTGGAAACGAGGCATTCTATCTTAGTTCTCAAGGGTGACAACGCATCTGCATTTTGATTCGTAATCGAGGATAGATGTAGATGTCTATGGCCCACAGCAACCACTTACCATCAGTAGGACAACGTGCTTGTCACCCTGTCCTATCAAAAAAATTACGGCTTTATTACATCATCTCTTTCATCTGATAGAATAAAAATTTATACCAAATTAATATTGTATTCAGATCGGATGCTCCTGACTGGTTTTGGACTGCAGCGACTGAAATGATCCAGGCCTGAGCCACCTTCCATCCATTGACTCCCAGCTGTCTAGCTAGAGTCTAAACATCTGCGCAAGACACGATTATACTGAACGTGTACGTAAGTACAGTTAGTTCAGCTCATAGTCCGATTAGACTGCAATCAGACTCCACCGAAAGTAGATCAGGCACAGGACCAACGGCTTTTCGTGCTTTCCGACGCAAGTGTGTGAAACACTACCAAGCAACTTTCTGACTCTGGTTTGCAAGCTAATGATTAAAAACCGAATAACCGATTTTAGACCCAACCCAAGATTCGAAGCTGAGTTCACAAATGATCTGCAATAGCACTTATGGCCTAGTGACCAACGAACTTTTGGTCTAGTGACCAACGAGGCTGTCAAATTTTTCAATATTTTCTCTATTTAACAAGGCACCAAATTTTTAACATTAGGTGCTAAATATTAGCATTTAGGTATTAAATTTATATATTTTTTCAAGGATCAAATTACTCTCATGATAGAAGTTCTGAAGCTCACATAATTTTGTGGTTCAGGCGATGATCAAACTCTGTTTACACCATTGACTTATATATTACTAGCGTACACGCGTGTCTACAATGAAATTATAAGGCGAGAGCATATTATCGATTGACATGTGTACTCATAAACTGTTTCAGTTATTACGATAAGTACTCAAATAGTATATGAATTAAATAGAAATGAGACATGTATTGTTAACGAAAATTACATTTCTGTATTAAATCATTCTCCTAACAAATTTAGCTCTGAATCACTGCTCGTGTACTTTGACTAGGCTCTCTAATTGTAACAATAAATAAAGAACTAATGAATCACAAAGTCACAACTAACTAAACTGTAAGTATAACCATTGTAAAACCAACCGTATGTGAAGGAAATTAAGGTCATTTTTTGAATAATTAAAATTATAAAAGGGAATTACCTGTTTAATATAATTTGTAACAGGAAACAAATAGTCATCAATCAATCCACTGCTGTACATAGGGCTCCTTCGTAGATTGCCTCTGAGGGATTTTGCCTATTTGCCACGCTTGGCTAGCGCGATGGCAACCGCACTTTTTATTATTTTGGGTTGTTTTCAGGAAAATTCTGTTGCCCCTCTCTTGATTTATTTCCCTCTGTCCCTCTTACGACCCCCTCAAGACGATATGCGGGTGCGGTAGTGGATATTCTTACACTCCCACTGCGCTTCACGGACCCAAGGAGTGTTTGACGTAAATAATTTTGGGATAACTATAAAACTCTGTCACATTACCGGAATCTGAAAGCAGAACATAACTTCTTTTCCATCGATCCGAAAGCCGAAAGTGTAACTGCATTGACATTATTTATTTATTTATTTACACTTTATTGTACACTATAATAAAATGATTGCAAAGGGCGGACTTAATGTCTTTTGGCATTCTCTTCCAGTCAACCCGGGACATGTAGAAAATAATGTGATAGATGCCAAATATAAAATGAATGTTAGAGTAAATCAGAAAACAAAACTACTGATGTTAAAAAATATTTGTTAGTAATAGTAATATTTATGACAACTCGAAACACGAGTGACTCGAGTCAATTCGAATGACTTGGGCCACTCGAGTGGGCTGAACCGACTCCAGTGAGAAATTCAAGTTAAGACAGGTTTAGCCTTAGACATCGTACAGGTTTATTTTGCAATATACGCCTAAATTCGCAGAGAAGGTTTAGAAAGAAATACAGGCGAATGGTGAAGAAAAACCAATTAAAAATAAACACTAAATTCTTTCCAAAATTCTCTCCTTTTTATCTTTTACATTTAGAATGCGTGGTAGTGCATGTTTTAACTGATTGTCATTCATAAGTATCTATTGCCTACTATTTTACTAAATAGATTCGTAAGAGTCGATCAGGTCCGAAAAAACGTTGTGAATTAAATCATATACAGAAGAACGCGCCTACGCGTAGTTGTTGTCCATAAATCACATTTACTCGTACTTTGGGATAATTTCAAAAAAATGTGTAAACCTCATTTACTCGTATTTAAATAACTGCAATAACGGTATATCATTACTTATATATTTGAACTCAAATATGACATTTGAATACTCTGTGAAAAATAACCCTTTAGATGTAAAAACAAATCAGAGGAAGTATAAAACAGGGTGTTGGTGTCGTAAGAGAATACAACAATCCCATTTCAGTGCGTGTCGTAAGAGGCAATTATGAGAACACCAGAAGCAACCTATGGATTTCAATACGTGACAGAATGATAAGCTCGTGTACGCCAAGCGTAAAATGTCTTCTCTAAATAAATTCTCTTCTCTCTCTTTAAAATCATATCTTCTCTAAATATATTCTCTTCTCTCGCGAATATTCCAATGTGCAAGACGTTGGGTACTGCGAACCTTATTCCTGCCTAGAGGAAATATGAAGCAAATTCCTCCCTACAAGGGAAAAAGGTCTATCTCCAGCAATGGACTTTTATGGGTGATGAAGAGAAAAGGAGTATTTAAATTGGAATAGAATTACCTGAATGGGCTAACTAATGTTAACTTACCTGCTAGTTCTAACGCCTCCTCAAGATCGGAATCCATTATTTTTATTTTAGGCGCTGGAAGATTGATTTGCTCTCCTTTCCTTTCAGTTTCCATTTTACTGTTGAGATAATAACTTAGTATAATTACAAGGAGACGTAAAAATAATCAATTATTATACAAAATTCTTTCGATATTTTGAGTAAAAACATTCATTCACTAGATCACAAGCAATAAAAATTATGTTTATTTAAAAAATCTCACGATACAGGACAAAACCCTCGGGGTGGAAAACTGGTCAACGTCACATCGCTCGGTTCGCAAAGCACTCCTCTCCCTGGACATCCACAAATCGAGTGGGCCTGACGGAATCCCCCCAATTGTGCTGAGGACGTGTGCTCCAGAGTTGGCACCAGTTTTAACGCGTCTTTTTCGGTACTTCTACTCCCTAGGCGTAGTCACAAAATCATGGAAGACGGCTTTCGTCCACCCGATCCCTAAAAAAGGCGACCGCTCAGACCCGTCCAACTACCGGCCTATCGCCATCACCTCCTTGTTCTCCAAAACAATGGAGTCCATTGTAAACTGCCAGCTCATGAGGTACCTTGAGGATCACCAGCTGATTAGTGACCGCCAATACGGTTTTCGCCGTGGTCGATCAGCTGGTGATCTTCTGGTCTACCTAACTCACAGATGGGCGGAGGCAGTAGAGTCCAAGGGGGAGGCATTGGCCATTAGTTTGGACATTGCGAAGGCCTTCGATCGGGTTTGGCACAAAGCGCTTCTTTCGATCCTATGGGCTTCCCGAGAAATTGTGCGATTGGATCACCAGCTTTCTTGCAGATCGGGGCATCAAGGTCGTTGTAGACGGTGCAAGCTCCGATTGCAAGCCTATTAAAGCTGGTGTTCCACAAGGCTGCATGCTATCGCCAACGCTGTTTCTTCTACATATCAATGATATGTTGCAAACCCGTAACATTCACTGCTATGCAGATGACAGCACTGGTCTGTTGCTCTTTACATCGGCCGAGACAATATTTCACGGGAAAACGTCTCCGAGTGCCGGGACAAACTTGTGTCTGAAGTCGAGTCTTTGCTGAACAGAGTCTCGGATTGGGGGCGACTAAATCTAGTCCAGTTTAACGCCCAGAAGACACAAGTTTGCGCGTTAACCGCTAAAAAGAAAAAGAAAACCCCTTTGTCGTATCTCCTCAGTTTCAAGGCACTCCCCTTGTTGCCTCAGCCAGTATCGGAATCCTCGACGTCGACATATCGAGTGACGTGCAGTTTCGTGGTCACTTGGAAGAGAAGGCCAAATTGGCCTCTAAAAAGCTTGGCGTGCTCAGCAGAGCGGGACAGTATTTCATGCCGGCACACCGCCTGCAACTTTACAAGGCGCAGGTTTGGCCGCACATGGAATACTGCTCCCATCTCTGGGCTGGGGCTCCCCAGTACCAGCTCCTTCCACTTGACCGCATCCAGCGCAGAGCGGCAGAATCGTCGACGATCGAGTGCTTTCCGATCGGCTCGATTCACTGGCACTGCGAAGAGATGTTGCATCTCTTTGCATTTTCTTTCGCATATGCCATGGAGAGTGCTCTGAGGAATTGTTCGGATTAATCCCAGCCGCCAAATTTCGTGAACTCACTACGCGGCAAACGTCCCGTTACCATCCACACCATCTGGATGCTTGGCGGTCCACCACTGTACGTTTCAAGAGGAGTTTTCTTCCGCGTACAATCTCTCTGTGGAAAAGTTTACCACCAGCGATTTTTCCGGACCGATACTACCTGGGGACCTTCAAGAAAAGAGCTTACTCCTTTCTAAAGGGCCGGTAACGCACCTGCAATTCCCCTGGTGTTGTGGTTGATCATGGGCGGCGGTAGTCACTTAACATCAGGTGAGCCGCATGCTCGTTTGCCCCCTCTTCTATAAAAAAATAAAATACCAATACTATCTTAGTGAACAGACTATAGTTATGACTAATTCTTATCAATGAGCCGTTGTAGCCCAAAGGCTACGTGTTTAGCGGTCGCTATAAAGCGTTGAAAGAAAGCAGCATGAAGAAACCTGAAATAAAATGTTTCGAGAATAATAATGTCTTCCTGATATGATTAATAATAAAAATAACGAATAACGGTCACGGCGGCCAGTATCAACAGAGACTAGCCATCGGCGTAGGACAAGAGTACAGTGCCCAAGTTTATGCGCAAGCACAGATGCACTTTCTATTCCCTCACTCTCATAGTACGATGGGACGGTAACTGACACGACCGGAGAACTGAAGGTAGCGAAATTCGGATTAGGGGTTTCGTGGTCAAAGGGCCAGTAGCTGTCTGACTTCATGAAGAAAAAGGGGTTCTTCACGATGGACTCTTTGTTTCAGAAGCGGCCCTATAACAAAATAACGTGGTTGAGCTTCGACGGCTTGACCAAAAATGAGATTGACTTCATTATGACGACTAGACGACAACTGTTCAGTGATGTGTCAATGATCGCGAGGTTGAAAACTGGCAGCGATCACCGAAAGGTGAGAGGCACGCTGAACATAAATGTTAAGTTGGAAAGGTCACGTCTAATAAAGTCAACGCTCTGTCCCCCTCGAGTCTAATCCAAAGTCCCGAAAGTTTCAACTCGAGTTACAAAACCGTTTTCAGTACCTTGAAGACTACAATGCAGTGGATGATATGGATGACAAGCTCTTGGAAATTATCCATGCGGTCGGAGCTAAGATCTGCAAGGCCCGTCGCAGAAGAACACATTAACACATAACTCTTCGGTCACACTCTTGATTTCATGTCTGTTAGATTGGAATTGAAGCTGCAGACTTTAGAAGATTTGGCAGCATACAAGCAACTTAACAGACATATTACCCTATACATGCGGCGGGACTTACGTAACTTCAATAGAGCGCTTACTGAAGAAGCGATCAAGCGAAACCAGGGCATAAAAGTCTTTGCCAGAGATCTGTCTGCCAGAAAGAGCCAACTGTCACCCCGTTCACACCGCGAAACCTGTTTTACTGGAAAAGAGGCATTCCATCTTAGTCCTCTCGGGTGACAACGCATCTGCATTTTGATTCGTAATCGACGATAGATGTAGGTGTCTATGGGCCACATCAACCACTTACCATCAGGTCTGTGTGCTCGTTTGTCACCCTTATCCTATAAAAAGAAAAGAATAGAATGGCTCTCCAGTTCCTTAACGTCACGAAGGCGAAGATGAAATTACAGCGGAGCTCCTGAAAGTGGATGTAAAATCGGTACTTGAAGTCTTTCAGAAGCACTTTAATTCCGTCCTCCATGGTGGTATGGAGGCGTGGAGAAGAAGTGCGGTGGTCTTGTCCTTCAAGAAAGGCGACAACGCTCTCTTGAAAAACTACAAACTGATTTCTCTTCTGAGCCGAGCTGTTTTCGAGAGTCATTCCGAATTTTCTCGCCCGTAGACTCGACGACTTCAGCCGACATTTAAGTGGCGCCGTCCTGGTGGTAAAACAAGTCCTCATTGTTTGTTCTCCTACTTTAATATCAATTTTTATCTCAATATTTTGCTGATGCAATACAATATTTAGATGAGTATGTTGTTTGTGATGAGTTTTAAATATTGTTACATATTAAAATTACAAAAGTTTTATTTGATTGTGTTGTTAATTATATTAAAATAAGTTCAATTTGTTTTTGTCTTTCTTAAGACTCATGTAGTTTTTTGACCTAAAAACAATACCATACAAACTATAAACTAAAAGGATTTTCATTTTATAAGCACCCCCTGTAATTGGATTACGTAAATAAATTAGTTTTAAGAGTAAATATAAGTATGATTTTTCAGTGTTAATCTAGATTTAAAATTATTTGTTTTAACACAGCACATACATTTAATTTAAAAAAAAGTTCATGAGTATTTCGTATATAATTAAAAAAAAAGTTCAGGGGCATTTCGTATATGCCTATATTTTTTGTCGATTCTTATTATAAATATTTTTTTTAATAAACTGGCGATCCAAACCCACTCCACCCGGATAGGATCTATTAATGTGGCATTATTTAGATTTTAAATAATCAAAAACTATTTATTTTACCAATTTTTTCAAAAAAAAATCTTAGTTTTTTTGATAAAAATGACCTAGACCCCTCTTGGCAAGCTTTTTAGCCTTTCTATCTGTCCGTAAAGTTAAAAGCTGGGACAGAGAGACAGACAGAATTTAAAAAATGTTTATTTTATATCTTAATATCATCTAATAGAAACCAACTATTTTAATATTTATTACACACAGACGCTTAAATTTTATTTATTTGTATACATGAATAAATAATTTCGCTATCTGTTAGATATAAAAAAATTGTTTTAAGAATATAATAAACAGTAACACTTACATTATACAAAATCAGATCCTGATGTAACTCAAAGCACAATTTTCTCTTCCGTTGTAACTAACACATTTTACGTGAAATTACCATATTTCAATAAACGCACGCCGCTTGGTCAATGTTAACACAGTGCTCGGTTACTTCCTGCCTCTTCTCGCACGTTACTGTCTCACTGCGCAAATAAATATCTTATCTTGTGTTTATATGTTTATTTTGTTTGTTCCTAGTAAATCATTATTGGCTATCATAACTTCCCAGCTATCGGCATTTATTCGGTTAATTATTATTATTAAAAAAAAAAAAAAAAAAAAAAAAAAAAAAAAAAAAAAGCGGGAGGGGGATGGTTTTCATTATTATTTATTTATTTTCAAGTATCCAGGACTCATTTTTATTTACATTACATTTTTTCTTCAAATTATAATTATTAAAAAAAAAATAATCTATCAAAATATGAGGAGACAAATATATTAAAACTATTAATTATTACTAAATGCTGTAATGCACATAAACAGCAGTCAATCATCCTTAACTTTCCCAATGTATGTTTAGAGATCCCACATATAGATTGAAAAATCTTGAATAATCTTTTGTTATAACTAGAATTTGGGCATTTTCTTTATAGGATAGGGTGACAAACGAGCACACAGTCCACCTGATGGTAAGTGACCGCTGTGCCCCATAGACATCTACATCTATCCTCGATTACGAATCAAAATGCAAATGCGTTGTCACCCGTGAGGACTAATATGG